CTTAAAACACTGGCACTGCAGATAGGCTTTGTCTGTGCATGCTTTGGCAGACAAACCTGTACCTCAACTGAATTTTATATAGACTATGATAAAAATAAGGCTTTGGATGGTTGTGGGGTTTTGGTGGGGTTTTGTTTGTTTGTTTGTTTTGTTTGTTTGTTTATTTGGTTGGGGTTTTTGGGGGGAGGTGTTGGATTTTTGGGTGTTTTTGTTGTTGTTGTTAGGTTTCCTTTTCAATGTACCTTATTGACATGCATTTATAGCTGTCTAATTTTTTGTAAATTAATTGCTGTATTTTACATTTGCATTTTGGCTACACTGTGTACTTTTTAAAGCCAGTGTGATCAAAAAAGAAATGCTGGGCAGGCACAATGAGGAGTGACTCTAACAAAGACCCTTTTGTGCAATTAAAAACACCATGCCATGGCCTTTGCTGACTCAGGTCTTCAAAACACAGCACAAGTTTTTCTGAGTTCATGTTACGACACAGGCTGAAGAACTCTGGTATAAAAAAAAGTCGTTCTCAATAGGAAATTGCTTTTTTATTAAAGACATTTTCTTGAGTATATTATCATTACTTTCCAGCAGCACCATCTTGGGAGAACAGTGTTGATGTATTGAAACCTACATAAAATTTTAAGCATCTTTTATGCCCCCTAAACTGTGACTGATCTGACATTCATTGGTCAGAAAAAGCATTTCAGAGAAGAGGGATTTGACTTGCCTGACCACCTGTGGAGCTGCTGCACCAGTGAAGCGACCTCAGGCCTCAGCTGAGCTCTAGAAACTGTCCATGTGTGTGCTCCTGGCCCCAGTGAATGGGAGGTAAAGTGCCTCTGCTTGAACTGCCTCTGTCGGGGAGGAGCCAGCCTGGAGGCTGATTGCCTGTCAGCATTGTAGGGATAAAGGAAGAGCAATATTTTATCATAAGAACTCACTTTCTGACTAAGCATAGAGATTTCTGTGTCTGCTTTGCTCTCAGGAGGCAAATATTTCCTAGAGCAGATTCTTTCTACTTTTGACATCTTTAGCAAGAGTTTCCTTACCATATTAAGTTCTGTCTGAATCTGGTTTAAAACTTTTCTCTTTCCTCTTCCCTTTGCATTTCCCTTTTGCTTTCCCCTTTTCAATCACTGAAAGATCATCATGCATCTTTTTCAAAGTAACTCGTGACAGACTTTTAGAGTTGCTGGTGTTATCCAAAACCTTAATAATGCACAGAGCTGCTGATGTTACAGCCCAAGTCACTGCCATGTTACTGCAGACAGATGCAAGTTAATTATCACTTTAAAATCTTTATCCTGTTATTGTCTGCATTTCAGAAGCATTTCAGCAGCTGTAGGAGCCTGAGTGACTCCCTTGCCTCTCACCCAGAGTATTTCCTTGTCAGTCTCTCCAGGATAGCTGCCCTGTCCTGTGCAGAGCAGGAGGTGGGCCAGGGGTGATGGCAGCTCTGCACCAGGTGGAAACAATTATGGGAAAAAAACATGGTCTGCACTGGATGAGTTATTGCTGATAGCTGCCTGATAAGCTAACTTAATAAAGTGGTGGCTTAATTAAGCTGCATTCCTTGCATCTTGCTTTCGCTCTGCCTGTCGGAGGCGATGCTATCGAGCAGCTACCGCTTTGCAGGATGGGGCAGGGGTGTTCTGCTGGGGCACTCTGTGTGTGGAGTGCTCTGGGGGACCAGCGGGTGATGGGACATGGGGGAGCTCCTGTAAAGCTCAGCTCCCCTCTCAGTTTGCAAGGTGATGGGCCACAAAAGCCTGCAACAAAGGCAGATCTGCAGCTTGTCTGCTCACACACGTGTTTGTTGTTATCAAACTTTTTACCTTAAATCCCATCTTCTGGTATTCAGTGATCCAGGAGCATCTCAGCCTCCAGAGCAGAGGGGAGTAGCTCAACACCTCCCTGCATTTCCTGCAGCTTTTTTGTCAGAAAAAGAAAAAGACTTTCCTTTGAGAAAGTCCCTATTGCTATGGATTTTCATACAGGTAACACAAAAGCTACACACTGCAGGCATTGAAACTGTGGTGCCCAAAACCCTCTCTGAATTTGGGCCTGTGCATATTCCTGAGTGAAGACAGCATGAGAATCAGAAGTTGCTATATTATTAATTGCTGAACACCACATCAAAACCTGTAACAGAAAAGTCTGTCAGAAGTTTCTTGTTTTGTAAGCCAGATTTGAGGTTAATGAATAAATTTAATTTCCCCATAGATCCAGATTTTATTGGGGTAGCTTCTTACACAGCCCTATGTTTATGTTTCATTCATGCTCACATGTACAGCTGCATAGCAACCACCTTGCTGAAAGTTATTCAGTAGCTAAAATTATCAGGAACCCCCTCTTACCTCTCATTATGTACAACAAGATTGCTGCTGTGCAACGTTGATTAGACATGTCAACCTGGACCTGGATGTCTGAAAATGAGTGTTACTATTAAAATGCCTTTGCTAATGCTCATGTGTCCATCATTTTGACAGATTTCGCTTTAGGAATTTAGAAGTCTAAAGCATTCAGGAATCCCAGGGTTGCAATGTAGTGTTCAGAGAAATAGGTATTGTCGTATTGTATTTCCTGGGCATTAACCCTAAAGTAGCAATTTCCCTGGCAAAACTGTGCTAATGGCTCAAGCTTGCTGTGGAGTACTAATGCAGAGATCTATAACCTTTAGTTGGGAACAGATTACCTTGGGGAATTGGTTTCTGTAGTGTAGCCCTGAAAGCAAGGCATCCCTCCTCTAAACCACTCCTTTAAGTGTGATTTAAAATTTCCATGATGAAGACAAATCTTTAAGTTTGTAGAGAAAATATTTCCATTTCTCCTTACCAATAAACCGGGAAAATTCAACAAAAAATTGAAAGGGGGACTGAAAACACAGAAATTGTTTCTCAAAAATATCTCATATCCCTGTGGAACTCATTGCTGCAGGAAACCATTGAAAAGAGGACTTTCAGCAAGGACTTGGATATCTGCCAGTGGAGCATGATTTTCCCATTGCTTTAAGTGGATCAACCCTGGACAAGGCTAAGGAAGGCTGTTTGTGCCCTGGGGCAGTATCAGGGTACCAGGGCATTGTTTAGTGGCTGTAACTTGGCGCGTGGTCAGTTCTCAATATGTGGCTGGTTGATGGAGGTTTGATTGAGGCAAGTGGTTTGGCTTTCAGTAGAATCCAGTGAGGAGGATAAAGCTTCAGTTTAGCACAAGAAAGCCCACAGTCCCAGCCAAAAGCCACTGTTGTCCAAGTTGAGAGGAGAGAGGCAGCTCCTACAAGGTTCACAGCAAGTGAGCCCTTACCCAGGAGCAGGCTCTATGGCTGGGGTTGCTATATGCTGCCACAAGCCATTTCCAGGGTGGGAGTCCTAAGGGTCCCATGCCTGAAAATCTTCCGTGGAGAAGGGTAGACATTATGGAAGCTGCTGCTCCCTATTTCTGGTTACTTCTGGCTGGCACAACCCCACAGGTCAGCCTCTCATGCCAGGGATGTCCTTCTCTTCTTTCTCATCTTCCAGCCCTCTCAAGTCAGGCTGTATCTCCCTCTGAAGAGCAGCTACAGGCAAACCTTTATCAGCCTCTCTTCTTCTGCAGACAGGAGGAGATGGATGTGGACTTGGAAAGCCATCTGCATGGCTTGCAGCATATGAACAGCCTCCCCAGTGCACCTTTGAACTCATTCCTTCTGCGTTTGTTTGTCTTGCAGATAAAACTTCACAGCAGTGTTTGGAAAAAAGTCTAATGAGGGACCACTGTTTGCATAACAAAGCAAGGCTTCCTCTTCAGATGTTCAACCTTCATTAAGCATAATTTATATTCCAGCTAATCTTGGAAGAGGGTAAAATATGGAGCCAAAGTTTGTTTTTACATAGTTTGGAGTAATGCATTGTTTGCTTTAGGCAGTCAGTTGCAACTGATAGTTGGTTTAAATTCAGCATAATGATGATTTGTGATGGCTGCGTGTTTTCTAGGGGAGTGTTGTGGCATTGACTGACATGGCTTTAGCACTCTTCTGCATCGGTTATTGAATCAAAGGAAAAGACCAAATGTATGGTTTCCCAGTTTTGCAGATATTTCAGCATGTCCACAAGGCATGAAAAACTGTGAATTTGTAAAATACAGAGTTTTTCCACCTTAGACTCGTGTACTTGATATCATAGCACACTGAGCAGCAGTTTTCTTTTGCAGCAGTCATAGTCATCACCAACATGGGACCCTTTGAAGGCTGTCATGTTCCTGCAGCAAGAAACTCTCAGGGTGATAAAGGACAGAGCCATTTATAAAGTCTCCAGAGCACTCCTGGTAACCTAATGTGTTTTCCTGCCTAGAAAGCAAACCAGCAGGTATAGCTGGATGCCTAAATGGCATTACAGGCCAGTGTGTCAGAAACAATAATTTCTCAGCCCTCAAATTTTGTTCATATTATAGGTACATAAAAAGTATCTGATCCTATTGACTCTTCACTTCAGTTTTGTCCCCCAGCCAATATAAGATATGAGTTGAAACACCAAATATATTTCACTTACCACTTCCAGGTTTGTTGAAAGATGAGAAATGACTGATAACATTTATCCTCTGTGTACTCCTCTCTCAGACTTACCCCTTTCTGCAAGTTTACATTGTGATGACGGATGTTTGGAAACACCCTTCACTGTACAGTGAAAATGATGACCTGAGTTTTGTACACAGACAGCACAGAGGTGTGCTGCATCCTGTCAGCACATGGGAGCAGCAGTTTTTGGAAACCACTTGGGATGTTGGGGAGGTTGGTGGTACTCAGCTGCTGAGGTGGCTGGACATGCTGCCATTTAAATGCCTCATGGACTGAGTGGTGTGTTTCCACGTTGCTTTCTAAAATGCTGAGAGACCTCCAACTGCAGTGCTCAGGATCTTCACCTTGTTTGGTTCCTCAGATCCATGATCTACCTACGACCTTTTAAAGGCAGCACCAACCTTTTTAGAATACATTTATTTATTCATTTATTTATTTTATTGTTTTTCAGGAAAAAGTGCTGTAAGGGTTATAAGTTTGTTCTTGGACAGTGCATCCCTGAAGGTATGTGATTTCACTGTTCTTACCCATTATGTCCTCACGCATTTGTCTTTCCCTATTTACCCTGTTTTCTACATTGCCAGTTTGGAAGAGCAACCTGATATAAGTGCAGGCTCAGCTGTATCTCATGTGTCCATGTAGGGGAGAACTATTTCCAAGAAATTGTTGGGAAAATAAAAAGATCAGCAACTTCCAAAAGTTTTGCTTAGCATGCCAAGCCTTTATCCTTTCCCCAAGTACACATGGCTGTGCAGATCTTGTGCCATGACCTGCTGAAGACTGAGGGACAAGTTCTGCCCTTGGCTAGGTAGGCAGGAGTGCTCTGTGCACACAGACAAACATGTTTGCTGCACAGTGGTTTTCCCCACTGGTCCGTTGGATCTGTTACTGCTGATTTGGCTTGTCGGTGCACAAGGAAGGGGGTGACTAGGTGAGGTAGTCCTGCCTTTAGCTACCTATTTCCTGAAGACATCAGAGAGGGGAGAACATCACCAAACAGTGCCATACTTCTGCCACCTCTCCAGGTCATGGGCATGGTTTCCCTGTCACCAGGGGCTGAGGAAGATGCAGATTTAATCAGAGTGGTTCATGCAGTAGTAAAAAGGGAACTGACTTGGGTGAAATTGGCTCTGAGGATGTCAGGCAGGAGAAAATGTCCAGAGACGACAAGCCAATAAACCTTGTCTGCTCCAAAAAGCAGGTTAAAAAGTTGGTTTAAAGGCAACACGACCTTCTGTTTGATGACATATGAAAAGCCTTGAGTTGGCCTGAGAATTTTCCCAGTTTGGAATGACAGTGTTTTGGGGAAAAAAAACAAAAAACAAAAAACCAAAAACTAACAAATGAACATGGAGAGAGTTGTCTGGTTTTTAAGTTACAGTCTCCAGCCAACAGGGATTATAACCTGAACTCTAATCCTGCTGTTTTGGTTTTTTGATTTTTTTTCCTTTGAATTCTTTTTTTCTGGGGGGGAGCGGGGCTGGAGGGAGGTGGTTTGGGGCAGGTTGGTTGGTTTGCTGGTTAGTTTGTTTGCTTTTTGTAAATTTGCATCTTCTTAGCTGCTAGGTGGAAACACTAAAGCACTTGTTGCACAAAAAAAAACCCAAACCAAAGCCAGCAAATAAACAAACAAAATCCCCCCAAACAAACAAAAACCTAAAGCAAGCAAGCAAACAAAAAACAAACAAAAAAAAGGAACACCCCCACCCCGACCCCCCCATTCTTCTCAAAACAAGAATTCTGTATTTGCTGCTTTCTTGCAAATAAAAGGCCATCCTGAGCCCTGAGAAGCTGGGTATAGTTTGTGTGAAATCAATGTTCACACCAAGTTCCTTGTCCTATGATTTTGCAGGGAGTTTTGTCTCTGTGTGGCAAGAGGTGACAGCTCCAGTGTGAGACTGACACTTGGAGAAGGTGGTTGTGTGTGTTGGAGGCAGAAGTCCCAAATCCTTTCAGGGTGGAGAAAAGCCAGTACTCTACAGTCTGGCCTCCAGTTTTCCTATGGATTTAACAATTTTATAGACTGGTTATTCACTAAATATAATGGATACAGCAGAAGAAGTAATAGGAACAAAAATAAAATGAGAGCCATGACAATATATTATTTTGGCTTCTGATTTTCATCTCTTGAGATTTTAGGTGATTATGAAAGCAGCTTTTATTATGTACCCGCTGACTTCACTTAATCCTGTTATTAACTGCATCTCAGTAACCTGAGAGTTTCTGCCACTAATTCAATTTCTCTGCTGGCTTTGTTTCTTCATTCCCCCCTCTTTCAGCTCCATCTGTATTTTGCCTTGAACTTCAGAGGCCACAGCAATTGCTGTAACATCCGAGACAATCTTGGGCCATTGGAATAGGGACGAGAAACATGATTCACTGAAGTATTCGTTTCACTTACTCTGTTACAGGACATCACTTGGCTCTTCACACATTGTTTTGGCATAATCTTGACAGAGTAGCTGTATGAAATTCATATCTCGACACAGGCACATAAATGCATTACAGATGTTATTTATTAGAGCGCATCTGCACCTTTTAATCCAGTACTGGCACATCTTAACTGTGAGAAGTATTTCCATCCCTGTCTTCTCCATGATTCAGCAGTGGCTACAGGGAGGGGGGTCAGCAGAGGGAGAGAACCTCCTTTGCCCACCCTTTTACAGCTGCTGTAAGAAAACACCAATCTCCTTCTAGGACAGCTGTTATTTAAAAACACTGTTTCCCAAAGGGTTGTGTCTTTGTCCATGTGCATTATTGGTTTCTGTCCTGTTATTTTTCATCTGCCCTTGAACAGAAATCAGTGCAGTCCACTATAAGTCCATGCCCCCATGTTCTGTATTTCATTTGTTTTGTGCTCACCTTCTTGTCTGGCTTTTGGCTGAAGGAGCAGGAAGCAATGATCCTCAGGAAAAACATCCCGTGGAGTTACCTCTGTGTGCCTTGGTTCTCTTTTTAGCATCTCGTCCTCTTCCATCTGATCAGAAAAGGTCAAAAACCACTTTTTCTCCTTCTTCTTTGCTTTGGAGACTCACAGTTCCAACCAAATCCTGTCTCAGGTGTTGTCTCATGGTGTGATATAGTGAAGAAGGGATAAATGTACTATGAAAGAACTTGTTTTGAAGGGCACCCTCCCTACCACTGGTTTGTTACCTGAGTTTCTTGGCTGTGGGGGAGCACAGAGCAAAATACTCTATTACAGGTGAGCTGCAATCAGATCTACTCTTTCCTCACTGATAGTGCTTTGCAAATTTCCTTGGTACAACTTTCCTGTTCTCAGAAATGACTGCACTGTCATTTCTGAGGTCATGTAGAGACATTTATTATTCTCCTTCAGTTTTGCATTGTTCTTTCCCGGAAGAGCCTGACCTTCACCGTGTGGTTTTGATTTGACCTCAAACAACATTGCTTAGGCTGGGCCGGCAAACAAGGGGGCATGTGCATCCTCAGTTCTGCAGAGCATACAGAGGTAGTGCAGCAGCTTCTGCCTAATTTCATGCCAGTTGCGAGGACTCTTTCTGGGCAAGTCATGCTACCTGGCACAAAAGCCCTGGGCATGCATAGCTCTGTGACATGGAGCCTGCCCACAACCATTGTGTGACGTGGACTGACTGTGTGTGACCACCGGCAAGGGTATTGTTAACTCCTGGACCCTCCCCCAGCTTTAAATGAAGGTAAATGAGGCAACAGTCATGATGAAGTTGTGCTGAGGTGGACATGAAAACCATATTTAAAGACTGGTTACGTGAAATATGGCGAAAGAGAAACTGATAAAAAGAACTGGCATTGTTTAGTCTAGAGACGTGATAACAGTTTTTAGGTATGTGAAAACTTGCTTGCAAGGGGGAAATTAAACTGTTCTTTATGGCCAAGGAGAAGAAGGCAAAAATAATGGGCCTAAGTGGCTATAAGGGGAGTTTGGATTAGATATGAGCAAAAAGCTTTCTGCCTGCAAGGGTATTTCATCTTAGGAATAGACTACATTGTGGACCATATCCACCCCTGAGGGAAAAAAGAAACTAGGAAAAGTTTACATGTAGCTAATCCTGCTTGTGGTGGGAGATGATCCCTTCCAGCACCATTTTTTATGATTTTGTTAGGGTACATTTATTCATGAAAGCACAGAGAGGCCAGAGCTCATTTTACCTCTGCTCTGAATAGCTGAACATGGCACAGGCCAAATCCAGCATCTGCATAGGTACACTGGCTAAGAAGCAGGAGTGTTCACTGCGGTGCTGGGCACATTACCCTGTTCTCACTCTGATTTCATTTCAGTGGAAAATGGAAATCACAGTAGTGCCCAGGAAAAACACCAGCAACGCTTTTTATTTGGGACTGTTTAGTAGTGCCAAATGTAACAGGAATTTACAGCCTCAGCATCACCTAAAAAGTCCAAATTAGACCCCCAGACTGGCCAATTTGAAGGCAAGGGGCTATGTTTTCTTTCCATGGCCCTGCACTTTTTGACCCTGATTACTGCTGGGGATCCTGGCACTGCCACTCACCACCACAGCACTTCAAGGGCTCAAGAATTCAGTCTTCAAGAGCTAAAGTCAACACAGTTGTGAAGTAAAAGGAAAGAAAGGATGCCTGCTGTTCAAAAGGTGACAAGCAAAAGGGAGGAAATGCTTGGCACCACTACAATACTATGTTTTTGTCTATGGGGCTCTGGTGAGAGACACAGCAGCTTTTTAAATCTCATCTGGTGCTTTTCTGTACCTTGGCACACTGTCACTTTTAACCCCAGTACTACACATGTGTACTATGTATTTCATACAGAAAATATGGTTTCATTTGCTTAACCACCTATTAGCTCATTTTAATTGTTTGGAACAATCACTGTACCCAGAGATGTCTGCTAGTCATTAGGGTGAGTCAGTAATGAGTTTTCATTTTAATTTTGTGTATGGAAACACAGTGCATTGCTGGGAACTCGGCTGAACTACTTAGCTTTGGTTTAGATACGTTTGGTCTGGAACACAAGGGGATATTTCTGCTGTGGCCCCAGCACCTAGTCACTGGAAGGTCATAGCCTCATGAGTGCTCTGCACAGAATGGTATTCTCTGAATCAAGCACAGAAACTGCCCCTGCTTTGGTGTAAAACCTGACCTTCAGCAGGTTTTGAGACCAGACGCTGCTTCAGCTCCTGGCTTCTCCTGGCAGATGTTCCCCATGGCACTGCCAAGCCCTTGCACACACAGCCACGGGCTGCCCTTCTACCCCCAACCCAGCACTGGCAGGGCAGGGATGTGGGTCACACTCTGCTGTGCTCTGCTGTCAATTCCCTAGACTTCAGCTCTGCTGCTACACTGCAGTGAAATCAGAAACAGATTTGCCTTCCTTTGCGTTTCAAACGGACTTCAGTCTTTTAGGATTTCACTGACAAAGCCAGGCACTGATTTTACCATATCCTAACCTGCACATTGCTGTTATTAAGAGTGATGATGGTTTTGTAAGAATGCATTCTTTGCTGGAAGGGTTATATCTGGCTTTGAACAATTACTGTGTGATTTAATTAACCTTTCCTTAAGATATACTTTCTGTCTGGATTTGGCAATTAGCCTTGTGGTTTTTCACAGTATTCTGCATAGGAAAATATTGCTATCTGCACTTAAAAATCTGTGGAAGAAAACAACAAAAAAGTTTTAGGTAATTTAATATTTCTGTGAAAAGAATTCTTAAATTCTGCCAACTGTGAAAGTGACTCTTGCTTAAAATCCAGCTTTAAGAAATAGTCTACCTACAGTAAAGATGTGAGTAGCAATTACAATTTCAATATAATTCTTTGATTATGGCTCATGAGTGTTTTATATCTAGGTTCCTTCAGTCCTTAAAAACAATGCAACTCAACTTTATATTAATTAGCAGAGAGGTGTCAAAGTATCACACAGCTACTGCCACTGGAATTTTTCCTAACCATGTTTTTCTCTCTCTAGACTATGATGTCTGCGCTGAAGCTCCCTGCGAACAGCAGTGCACGGATAATTTTGGGCGAGTCTTATGCACCTGCTATCCTGGGTACCGCTATGATCGGGAGAGGCACAGGAACAGAGAGAAGCCTTATTGCCTGGGTGGGTAGCAGTGCATGTTGAGCTCATCCCCGGTTAATGATGCATCCTGCTCCCTTGGGTCTTTTAGGAATTGGTTTATACCTGAAACCTTTCTTACACTCATAATAATGATTATTACAGAAGAAACATGGTTTTAAACTGTGTTAAGGATTGCTTAACAGAATTAGGAGATCTAGATGCCCCTGAAATTATTAGGAGGTATTACCTACAACAAAACACATACACTTTGAGGTGTTGGGCTGATGTAATATTCCTTTAATTCCTCCTGCAGGTTGTGAGACATATTTATAGGATATTGAAGCATTATAACCAGACCTAATTATGAAAACTAATCCTTGGGGTTTAGTCCAGATGGCCAGTATCTAATTCAGGACCGATCATTTAGATGTGGTACTTGTGTGGCTAGTCCTGCCCTGCCCTGTGTGGTTTCCCATGCCAGGGAGCCAAGGTTTTCAGGACTGAGCCTTGCTTGTGAGCTTTTCAATGCAAGGAAATGGTCAAGCACCCAAAGTACCAGTGGTGGTGCAATTACTCCTATATTTAACTACAAAATCTCTTCATACCTCTAAAGGAAGCCTTTTATTGTATTTGAGGTCTGAAACCTCGAGCTGTAGGACATTTTTCTAACTTTTGCTGCTCTCCAGATATCGATGAGTGTGCCACGAGCAATGGGACTCTGTGCTCTCAGATCTGTGTCAACACCTTGGGCAGCTACAGGTGCGAGTGTCACGAGGGCTATATCCGGGAGGAGGATGGGAAGACCTGCACCAAAGGAGATAAAGGTAGGGGCTGCTGGAGGTTAAATGTCCTGGGCCAAAGGGACACCTAAAGGATTGATCTCTGATGAAGAGGAACTGCCCCCTGTGCTACACTTGGAGCTGAGGGTCCAAAGCTGGGATGTTGCTGATGCTCCTGGAGAACCCGAGCTGCTCAGTGGGCACCTGAGCACATGTGGAGCAGTCCTGCCACATGCTCTGCTCCAATGCACAATTGCATTGAAGGATGTGGAAAGAATCTTCCCCTGGAGAGGCAGAATGGATGAACGGTGAAATTTGGCATTACAGCTTCAGTTAGACCATTTCTGCTGGATCCAGCTGCTAAAAGCCATATTTTGCTCCCATACCAATCTGAATTATACCTATTTTATGGCCCAGAGCTCAGGAGACACAGGGAAGAAAAAATACCAGATGATGGCCCTGACAAACCTTCATTATTTAGATAATTTCAGTAACTTTAATTGGTATTTATGTGCTTACATTTGAGATTAGCAAATGGCCCTAGGTTGGGTGGTTAGTGCCCCTTGGCACTCAGAAGCTCAGAAAAGGTGTGTCTGGAAGTTCAACACACATTTCAAACATTGCTTAAATCAATTTCTAAGTTACACTGAGTAACACTGAATTCTGATGACCTGCAATTAGTTTGTGTGACTGCAGTCAGATTTTTTTAATTTTAATTTAATTTTTAAGAAAATTAAATGTGATGGAAAAGGGGCAGAAGTGAGGGCTTGCATTTCACTGTAGGTTTCAAAGGATGTAGGTGTTCTGTGCATAAATGATTTTAAAGGTTTTGACCTCATCCCAGTTATTACATTACAGCATTGAGAGTATTGAAGATTAAATACCAATATGAAAATTTAAAAAGAAAGGAGGAAGCAAACATCCTGTGCTCTGGAAAAAAAGACCCAACCTCTTTTGATGAATAGTGACTTACAATAGGTTCATGAGTTAATGCCTGAACACAGTATCATAGAGTGCTCCAAATCCCGCTGGATGGCCAGAGCAATTTATAATTTTGGTTTTCCTCTGAAAATGTGTAACTGGAGCCACTCCAGTAACTGTAATTGGTCTTGGTAATTTTCAAATGCTTCTTTTTTCCTCATAAGTATGTGTGCATGGGTCATTAAGGAAAGAGATATAACTTCTGTAATCTCATTACAAACAGTTTTTTTTAGTTAACTTTTCCTCTGGGTGGTTCAAATTTCCTGATAAAGTCATGTCCAAACATTCAGGATAACCAGTCATTCAAATATTCAAGGCTGTGGAAATCATTCTAATAATTGAAAAACACCAATTTTACACTGAATGTACATGGCACATAAAAATGTCAGTTCCAGTAGTTAATCTGGAACAGAACACCAACCATCTCTTGAGACAGTTCACAGATCAGCTGTGGGAAGCAGGAAAGGATGCTCTCTGCTCAGTTACCCCGCAGTACTCCACGTTAATGTTACTAACTGTCAGACCTTTGAAAGAGGTGAAAATGAGAGAGGAGTTGGCCATCGCTGTTTCACGGGACTTGTGTCGGTAACTCATTCCAAAGGAAAGGGTTTTGTGAGGAACCAGCTGTAGCGATGCACCACCCCGTGGTAAATCCCGGCCCTGCACCACATCTGGGCCTGAGCCACCTCCAAATGAACAGATGATTTGCTTTTCATAGTAGCCGGAACACTCAAATTTTATTTTAATATTTAATGTGGGAGACAAAAAACACACGTACCCGTCTCCATCTCTAACAATGTTGCATGTTTCCGGAGAGATCATACTCATGTTTTCATTGTTCCATGCCTGAAGGCTGCAATTTGGACACTTTTTTGGCTCAGTAAGTGGCTTGACTGAGAGCTCCGTGTTGGTTCGTGCACAGAAGAATAGGGAGCATTTTTCTTGCATTCGCAGTAATGCTGCATTTGAAGGAGACAATGCGGCTGCCCTCGCAGAAGTAGGCAAATGAAACCGTCGCAGCAGGCTGAACCCAGATAATACAACACAGATGATCGACTCCACAGCCTCCATGCACAGACCGCCTGCAGCAGAGCTCCCGCAGAGCTCTCCCCTGCCAGCATCTCCTTCTCTTCCAGCGTCAGCAAGGCAGAGTCTCCAAGCACATGGGAGGAAAACGCATCACTTCCCTCAGTGGATCTCTTTGCCATAGGTGCCACAGGTCTCCCCAGTATCTCATCAAGATTAAAGGACCCCCGTCAGGACAGCAACATCATGTGTGAGCTAGTCTTCACACTTTGGAAAGCCTTCATAAAATGGGCCAGGTTTAAGCCTTCTCCAAGACAACTTTAGTTTCCTGGTATAGCTCTGTGCAATGGAAACATGCTGTGTAAGTGGCTTGCTCAGTGCTGGCCAAACTGGCCGTGGTAGGTGACCTCTGTTTCTGCACCATGCGTGGGTAGCTCCATCTAATGGCTTCCTGCCCACTCTGGCCTGTCCTAGGTGGCTTCTGGCTTTATCCATGCTTTATTCTGGCTTTTTTCATAGTCTGGTCCTGACACAGGATTGGATGCGGGTAGAGTGAATGTCTGATGGATGACTCCTTCCCTGGGCAAATCATCACCTCTGTCTGGTATGAGTTAGGGGGATTCCACCTCTCTCCTGGGATGCAGCTCATGCTTGCTTATATGAGGATGTTGAACTTCTTCCTCCGACAAGTCAATCCAACCGGATTTGCAGAAATCTCACTGGTATGATATTTCCCAAACATTTGCTGATCCCCCCAGCATTCATCTCCATGGATTGTTACAGTCCTGTTTTATCTGTACTTGTCAGCCCCGTGTGCTGCATCCTTCTGGAAGATAAACTGGCTTTTATAATGAAACACAAGGCCAAATTCACCGCTTCCTAATCTGCTCATAATTCCACTGATTCTAGTGGGATCGCATTAGGTTTCAAATAGCAGAGACTCTGGCAGTTTCTCTCTATGACTGTATGTTGCTTTCAGCAACATTTCTTAACACGATGTGACAGAACTCATTTGGTGAGAGAGCTATTAAAAGAAATTTTCATTGAGACTAGTACCAAATACAGACTTTATTGGCATTTAAAAAGGAAAAGAAAAAAGCTTTTTTTCTTTTTAACAGTTCTATATACATGTATCTGTAAATCCTACCCATGTCCAAAAATGGACGTTTCAAGACACTGTGTTGTTTTTTTTTTAAAGGATGATGAAAAATTGAAGAGGGAGAAAGAACTCCACAAAACTGACTTGTGGTCAAGAGAGAAAATTTATTTTATAGAGACATCAAAAGGTGTCTTGATTAAAGCACATCAATTCCTTGCTAAGGAAAAATGCCCCACATGGTGCAGATTATTTAATCTACCAGAGAAAGGTTTATGGGCAAAGAGGCTTTGGAGGGAGTCAAAGACAAAATAATTAGTATTATGAGTACTGCAAAGAGGAAGGAAAGCAGCAAATGTTGTGTATTCAGGTATCTTCACACAAATGCTAGAGTTCTTCTGGGAGGTCTTTTCACCAAATAGCCTTGGATTCAGTGTAGCTTGATTTGATTTGATTCTATACTATGCAGAGTTCATTGGAAAATACCAAGTAGCACCTTCTGGCCTTAAATCTTGGAGCCACCTGAACACTGCATGGAAAGCTGTTCAGGTACCAAGCCTGTGTTATCAGAAAGGGCTGTGAAGATCAAACAGCAGGGTGTGCTTGCTGTCATAAGAATGGTAAATAATACATGTAATATTGTAGTGCTGTCGGAATGTAGTTGTGGGAAAAGGTAGTTGATGAGTGGGGAAGACCTTCAAGCCTTTGCCTCCCAGTCTTCTGATCAGTTCAATACTCATATCAGTCTTAATGCTTCTGGTCATTCCAGCATCTTGCCCTTACAGCCCTCTCCTACCTGATTGCTTTCTCTTCTGAAAGCAAGCATACCTGATGTGTCATTACACCCAATGGACTAAATGTACTGAAAAACATTCCCTAAATTTGTACATAGATGGTCCATAGATAACCATCAGATTCTTCCTTATTGGACCCTGCAAACTTTTAAAGTCAAGTACTATATAATATCTTTAGTATTAGAAACTTCTGGGTGTATTTAAAAAGATGTAGATGTCTTCAGAATCCATACACATTTCTGAAAAGATGAAGGCCGTTTAAGTGTGTGCCCAAGTGGGAAGTATAACACAATAGCTAAGCATGTTGCAGTTGATCCTTTTGGACGATTCTGAAGATTTCCTGGCTTTAACCAGGAGCACCTGCAGAGTTGTTCCATTGCAGGATGTGGTCAGAAACATCAAACTTCAAACATGCCTGATAACCCATCCAGGTAATATTGTACAGGGCCACACATTATATGCAGACCCACTTGATGCTTCTCAGCAACTGTATGTGGAAGGGAAAAAGTTCACCTGGAGTTTGCCAGTATGTGTCACCCTGTGGTTTGGAAACTAGATTTCTTTTTAAGCAGACATCTGTTACAACAATGCTTGTTTGTTTGCGATGCAGAAGTGCTTGACTGTGTATGGGACTGGGAAAAGCACAAAAATAACATTTGCAATATCTCTTACAGTTTGAATCGTTTAGTGGATTCCTGAAAAGATCCCATTCATGCATAGTATCAACAGATGTGACCCTTTCTCTTGTGTGGATTTAAATCCCTGTCATTAATCTCAATCCCCATCTCTGCTCAGGCTGATTTCATGTATGGAGAATAACCCATAATGATAAAGAGCAGTTTGTGCAAAGTGAACAAAATGACCATATTGTGAGGGATTTTACTGTAATTTATAGCATATGAAAATTTGCCCTTCAGGGGACTGTAAATTGGTTCAGATCTATGGGGTTAGTCTACCCTAAACACAGAGATAAAAGAAGGGGTGTAAACTTTTCCAGGTATTAAAAAAATGAATTCTTTGGGGACTGTTAACAGAAAACAGCTGCTTTAAGAATGAGCTTAGAGCTGTCCCTGCAAAGTTTCTCAGCCTTCCATAGGCATTCACAGTCAAAAATTTAATAATGGCAAGATTCTCTTCTCTTTTTGCAGTCTGGGGAAATGTAACAGCCTTCAAGTTGCTTTTGCAGTCACTTCATGAACTTCTTTCCTTTGGATCTTTATATTTATATTGGAAACTGCTTTCTTTCAGCTGGGCTTCCAGAGAAATCTGAAAATATGGCGAAGCCAGGTACATGCTGTGCCTCTTGTAAGGAATTTCATCAAATAAAGCAGACGGTTTTACAGCTGAAGCAAAAGGTATGAACACTGATCAGCCATGTCTTTACCAGACCTGCATGTTTTACAGCAACTGAGATCAAATTTTAGTGTTTGGAGCTGTCACTGGAATGTGATTCTTGTACCCAAAAAGGGGATGGCAATATATTTTAAAATCATGTAAGAACAGCATCTCTTCCTTACGGTTCTGTATGGATTGTAAGCATATTCAACCCAAGTTCATAGATCTGTGTTACCAAGCTTGTGGTAAAACAGTCTGGCAAACACCCATCCCAGGCTGAGCCCAGGTTTCTTGGCAATCTGTGCTGGCTTAAGCTTTTCATTCACTCTGGATGCCCGGGATTTTGGACTTGATCCACCTTCAGAATCAGCAAGTGCAAGACATTCTGTAGATGTAGGAACATGATTTTGCATTAATGGGGTGCTGATACAGGGTTCTTGCTTTCTTAGGTGTGGGGCTCAACAGAAACATCACTAGCTTGAAACATCACTCTTCTTTTAAAAAAGAAAAACCATCATTCCCAAACCTTTTTTGTTTTCACTTGTCTTCTTACAAGTAGAGAACAATGCATTTAGAAACTTCCCCTGGCCTTTAACTGCTCATATATGTAACCTGCTTTTGCATTTGAGTTAGGATTGAAATACCCAAGGACCCAGCTTCAGATCTGGAGAGCCAAGTGCAGGGATGCAGGTGTAATGCCTTTTCTGGTGACATCTCCTTTGAACATTCAGGTTCCTTCAAATTGAAATGTTCTGCGAAAATATTCTCAGCAATTCATGCTGACAGGCTGTAATTATTTCACCCAGGGTACTCATTTCATTTCACTGTGTCAAAACACAATTTGGTGTATTCCCTTGTTGCATTTAATGTTATTCCTCCAATTTTAGGAAGAAAGAAATCTGCTTCACTAAAATGAAATTCACTGAGGTTAGAGATAATCTTTATCTCAAAAATCTCAAAATGTCATGTTTTCCTTCTGAATCAGCATGAAGACAAATGTGGAAGTGACAGAACTTCATGTGTGCTGGAAAGTCTGTTTTTCAAATGGTAGCACGGAGGTTAAAAAAGGATCCATGCTTTTTGCATGGCTGTTTCTCCAGCCACTCTCGGTGATGCTGAACAGACTCACACTGACCTCCCAGGAGGGATCTGGGGTCACACTCTTGGTCATGTTGTTTGCTGCAAGAACTGACTGATTGAATTAATGGAAAGTTTTCTGTGTCTAACTTCCAGTTAGATGCCAGAGTTCAAAATGTTAGATGCCTGTGTTCAGGCCATCGATACCTGTCACTGTGGTCACTTGCACAGTACTTGTGGCCAAACCAAGCAGCTCAAACTAAGCTTACTTTATAGTTGTGCTGTCGTTGTATAGAGCTTAATTTTTCCCCCAGTATCTTCCTACTGAGACTTGATCTGTTTGGCATCCTCAGAGGGAGCCCACTGGGTTGTGCCACACACAGACAGAGCTGGAAGAGAAGGTCCCCGATACCCTCAGCAATTTTACTGCACAGAAAGGAGACCTTTTGTCCATGCTGAGAGGAGATCTGTACCAGTATTACTTCTCTACCCAGGGAAACATCAACCCTTGTGTTTTACCTGCTGCTCCCCACGGTCAAGTTTTTCTGGAGAGGATATCTCTCAATATCTGTGGTTGAAGCTGTTCTGATTTGCACAGAAAAAGTAATTTCTGTCTGCCAAGGAGACAGTTTATGGAATGAGTCTTCAGTCTTGTGGTTAAGGCTTTCAGATTTTATGAAATTTATTCAAAATTATGGTTAGTAGAAAAGACTATGAGATGCTCTGTCCTGATATGCTAGAGATCTGTGGGCAATCCTACTGATCTCAGACCCTGTGGAAGGAAGGAGAGTGGAAAGCTGGAAAACTGGCAGAAAGATATCTGACATGTTGACAGACAGCCAACAATTTTTTTAAAAAATCAAGTAAACTGGATTCTATTGTACAGATGTGTTTAAACATCTTAATTAGAAAGCCATGTCCCACATCACTCCTGACAAGCACTGTCAAAGTTTGTCTAAACCACAGATTCCCTAGAAATTACCCAAAATTCCAGATGCAGAGTGCAAAACAGCATATGGGAGTCTTGTTTCTAGAACAGTCTTTCTTTAAAATTTACCCTCACTAATATTTGCATGCACATGGAACAAAAAAATTATTTGCCAAGGGCCATTCAGATTTGGAGCTGTCAATGGAGAAAGCCAAGGTCATCCTGGACCAGGATCCTGGTTCAGTTAAAAGGTGAAACAAATTAGGCTAGTGAGTATAGCCAATCCCTAAGAGGATGTGAGTCAACATCAAAAACACATGGTTTGGCTCTGGTGCATTTAACAACCATTTTCTGTCCAGAAGATATCAAAGAGTAGTGAGCTAGACCAGAGCCTGGGTATTTTGGCACTCCTAGTGTATGCCTCAAGTCCAGCTGAGTCAGTGGGGAAGCATGTGTAGATGCTTTCACAGCAGCTATGTGATTGTTTTTTTACATACTCAATTGTTACAACAGCCTTGCTGGCAGAAACAAGCCACTATTTAAGCAACAGAAAAGAATACACTTCCAAACCCTCTTCCTGATGAGTCCTCACCACTACACGCACCTTTTTACTCCAACCTGCCTATTTGCAATATAACGTGGAGAGTATCCATGGCAGAGTCTATGTGCTAAGTGACATCTATTTATCCACTGGGATAGATCCCCAGAACAAGATCTGTTGAGAAATATACACATCAGCTCAGAAGAGGACTTCAATTAATCTGTCACCCAACAGTGGCCACCCCTAAGGAAAAACACTTACTGAAAATGTACTCCCAAAAACTACCTGAAAAATATAACGCTCTCAGGTGGCCACATGATTTATCTTTGTGTCTCAGTTCTGGCGTGTCAGCACTGGCACAGCAGAACCCTTGGTTGATTTGTGTCTCGTAGTGAAAGTTTTGAAGCATGATGGTCCTTGCAGCCCTTCCATTTGTATCCAGCCAGGAACCTTCTCTGACGGAGTGGACACACCTCTGGCACACAAAACTTTGCTGACTGGAGCCAGCCACTGGAGTTTCCCATGCTGGTTCCTGGCCAGTGTGTGTCTCTGTCAGCCCCCAACTACTGCATTTTCCTTTTCATCCCCAGCTATAGGACACTGTAAGCCATGGAGTAGCCCTTTATCTTCGTAGCCCCTCACGCTGGTCAGTGCTGCAAGGTCTGGGGTGTTGGCTGAGAAAGCTTGCAGGGTCACTGGTAAACAAAGCAGAGGTTTTTCTCTGGAAAACCAAAGATGACAGCTCACCCCAGAGCAATAGATGCGCTGGATATCCATTTTTGGTGTGAGCAGATTCATATGAGTGAGCATTTATGAAATACTCTGTGGGAACTCACAGTGTTGATCTCACTGTGAAGTGTTGACCTCATCTAGCCACTGATCTCTGTGGGGATGGAGTGAATCTAGCAAATTCTTGTAGGACTTACATCATGGCACTTAATTTGCCTATACTGCAGTCATCATGTCTTTGGAACTGCAGTGCTTTCCAAAACCTAAGTAACAAATAAAAAAGTAATAAATCCTAATATTCCTGTCATTGCATTTTGAATTCCAGACTCAGTAATCAAACTGGTGTTTTGGAAATGCCACCAGAAACATCAGCATTTCAGGTTACTTTTTTCTTCCTGATTTTTTCCTTCTGAACTGTTCTGTGCATCCAATCTCAACCTGCAAGCAGCACTGGCTGCTCTTAAATTGCATTCTGTAAGTAATAACTTGTTTGCCAAAGGAAATTTGCCCAGTTATAAGTAAGTACTGAAAGTGCATAGCACTGGGGGAGGTGGTTTTGTGCATTACAAATATTAGGTTTGCAGTAATGACGGGAGAATGAATATCAAATAATTACAGAAACAAGTAGGAGTCTTGAGAACAGCCCAGTTCAGGGAATTCCAAATAGCTGATGAAAAGCATTGTCAGATAGTAGGAGTCATCATGTATTTACTTTAATGCAGCTCTCCCAGGCAAATATTTCAGAATTCAGCATCAAATTACCCAGTGAGCCAAATTCCTTCAAGGAACAACAAAGTTCACCCAGAGATAGGTCTGTTCTGGTGTTGCTGAAATAGCTCTTCAGTTCCGTTTGGTAGAGCACAATCCCCAACTCTACATGAGCTGCTCACCACTAATAAACTTCTTTCCTCCTTGCAGACCAGTCTCCTGGCTTGTCATCTCCCTTCAGCTGCTTCTGGAGAGACTACACATTTGTATATTTTTCTAAATATATTTAATTATTAAATATGTTCAATCTGGACAGATTAATGTTTCATGGATAATTACACATGTAATGGATAATGACACTTTAAACTATAGTGTGCAATTTTTCTTACATTCTCACTTACTTTGTTTTGTGTCTGTATGCAGAGCAGATCCAGACATCTGTCGGGTTAAATAGTATGGTTACAGGGTCGGATCCATTAAAGATTTTGGGTTCTCACTGAAACCAATGGAAAGTCTGTGGCTTGTGCAGCAAGTGAGAACTTAAAAGTCTGAGCAAATGTTGCCCTGAGAAAGGTACAGTAAATGAATAAAGAAAATTTCAAATAAGGAAAAAAAGGCTTCCTGAGAAGATCCAAGCAGTTTTGAGACTTCGGTTTTTCAGAACTTGTTGCTGTATCTCACCAGAATTTCTCCAGTCCTCCACTGGATTGGCTTGCAGTGTTTCCACAGTGGCTTGAAAAGTGAACAGACTCACAAAGTAACTTCTCTTTTTTTTCCAATTATTTCAATGACAGATATGATTAAACATTTTACATTTTCCTGAAATATTTAGATAGACTCTTTGTTCTCATGAACGCTTAACTAAGAATGGAATTTATCCAGCTGAACAATTAAGGTCTTACAGTGATTTTTGGTTTTGGCAGGTTGCTTTGCTACCAAATAATGCTGCTGATCTTAGCAAGCAAATCACTGGTGAAAAAGTGCTTGCATCTAATGCATATATCCCTGGCCCCCCAGGACAGCCTGGCCAACAAGGCCCTCCAGGTAAGATATAGACCAGAGGGACAGAAACATTCAATAGTGCTAAGAATAAAAATAATAATCTTGAGTCTTTCAGTGTGATAGGATTTGATGTGTCTCACACTTTGATTGATACTATTATATTTGCATTTTTACATTTTGATTGATACTATTACATTTGCATTTGCGCTAAATTTGAAAAGAAAAACTTTCTGGTTGTTATGGTCAGCCTCTGCCAACTGTCTAACATCATCCACTGTGCCTCCATCTGTTTCTTGACATCCAAGCTGTGTTTGTCCCGTATGTGTTAAATTTCTCCCTCTCACTGGGATATCTCACCTGCTTCAGTTGTCATTTCCTGTATTTTAACCCTGCCTTAAAACACTATTTCATTTCAGGAATATCTATTGCTTTAGCTCACTGTCAGTAGGAGAGCAGAAAATATGCCTTCAGTTTGTGGGGGTTTGTGCCAAATGTTTTATTTTTCCCTCATCTGGTTCTGCAAGGATTCATCTGTTTGTTTTGTGTTGTGTTCAGATTCAAAGGAATCTGAAAGGAAAAGTATAGCTCTACTCACACCTTCTTTGCTAAGGTACAGATTGAAACAATGTGAAAAATAGAGGGTTCCTAAAGCTCTAACTTAAACCAGACACCTTGCAATCGGCAGCCAACTGTACTAAAAATTTTGGAAATCTAATTTTGGGTTAGCAATGAATCCCAGGAATTTCAGCATTGTGTTGGATTTCAGAAAGATTATTACAGAGAACTAACAGATATTCCTTACAAGGATTTTATCCCCTATCAAACCACCCCCTCCCTTCACTCCCTTCCCCCACCCCCCGCCCCTGTGTTTATACCCCCTTTTGCAGTCTTGCTTTGGTTTTTGAGTCTTTATCTCATTTTCTTGGAGGATGAGTATCTTCAGTCTCCAATGTATCATAAGTGTAATACAGTGCATTGCCTTGCAATCCCTCCAAGGTAGGCCTGACCCTTCAGGTCTTCCACCCACCAGTTTTTGCCATGAATGAGCTGTCCGAGGTGCTGTAGAACTCTACTCCCCCTAAAATCACTTCCTCTGCTGCCTGGACAGGAAGAATTCCAGAGAGTCATCACTGAACCTGGGTTATCTCCTTTTGAAAATTCTAACTGTACATATTCTGTCCTGCTGAACTCTTTTTACTCTCTGCCTTTCATTCTCTGTGTCTTTCATGTGCCCTCAGTATGAAGAAAAGTGTTTTTCCTCTAATGATAAAGTGTTTCAGCTAGTGACACTTCAATGGTCTTTATTTTGTGCAAATGTTGTTTCAGGTGTCTGACTTCTGGTTCTCGTTTCATAGAATTTCTCTTGAGCTACACATACATTTGTTGCCTGTGTGCTTCCTAAAAACTGACATGCTCTGCTGAACCACCAGAAACTGAAAAGGATATAAAGCAAAATGGAAGAACAGAGACCTTTTTGCCCCTAACACATTGGCTACTGTACTGGGCAAAAGAGAGGTGCAGCCCACCACTGGAAAGGGCTTGCTTGCGCCAGTCATGTCGATCCCATCAATACAAAATTCCCATGAGTTTTCTGAGGCTTTCTTTTTATCAGATATTTCTCAAATGTGCCTTGTTCTTCCTTGTGTGAAAATTAGGCATTTTTGCTTTTCTTTTAGTTCCCAGTCTGTGTCTCTAACCATCTCGCAGTGTCAGACTTGGATTCTTTGTATACACAGTATTGAATTGTTTAACTGATCATCTCTTGTAACTACTGTGACAAGGTGTAGTGTTGCCTCAGAGGGCTGCTGATGTGCAGACACAGATGTGTTGGTTGTATTGTTATGGATTTGGATGTGTTAAGGTAACCAATCAACTGGGTCATTCAGAAAATGGTCATTCCTCACTGTTTGCACTGTGAAGTGTTCCTGAAGGCTTTCCCTGACAGATAACCTTTGTCGTTGATTGCAGGGGCTCCAGGACCAAAAGGGAGTCAAGGAGTTCCTGGGTTACCTGGACCTCCTGGACAGCCAGGCCCTCGTGGATCCATGGGACCTATGGGTCCATCTCCAGACATATCACATATTAAGCAGGGCAGACGGGGCCCCGTGGTCAGTATTCTCATCTCCTGTCACACCCTGCACAATTTGCCTTAGCTCCACAACTTCTCATGTCCTTGTGAACACTTTCTTTTCTCTTGCAGGGCCCACCTGGAGCCCCAGGGAGAGATGGCAGCAAGGTGAGGAGAGGTACTAATCTCCGTAAGATGGACACGTGCATGCGAAGTGAAGGCTTGCTAAAGAGTCTCTCTGCACACCTATAGACAGACCCTTTCACCATCTCATTTCCTTTGCTAAGAAGAAAATGTCCTATTGTCCCACTTTTCTGCTGTTTTGTGTTTGGCATTGCTAAAGTCTTGCAAATAGTCTTGCCAGGCTGTCAAGCAGCCTTCTTTCCTTTCCCTGCAGATCTTTAGGCTTTTCTCTGAAGAAGCATTGATGCTTTAGCCCTTTTCATTAGACAGATCTTTTGTGAATTTCTCCTCTTCACTGCTTTGCTTGTTACTGTGCAGGACAAACATCAGAAGTGCCCCCCTCTGCTCCGACTAGAATCAGTGGCAATTTCCTTTCATTCCTCCTTCACTTTGTTTTCTTTTTCCAAACAAGCATCAGCTGATGATTCCTGATCTGGGGACAGTAAATAAGGGAGAGGCAGAGACAAACAGTGGGTATTTATTTGTTTGTTTCCTTTGGTCATAGCAAACTAACCATGGTGGTATTGATTACAGGGGGAGCGAGGTGCACCAGGACCAAAGGGGATACCTGTAAGTATTTCTCACAGGAGGAATTTACACAATAAAGTGATGCTGACTATTAACAACAGGTTAATAGTCAAGAAGATTTTTTTTAAAAAAAACAACCCTGTGTGTTAAGAGCAAAGATACTTTAGATACACATAAAATTTTATTAGAAACAAAGTAATTACCTCTTTTCATCCAAGTTTTTTTGCCTGCACACCTTCTTCCCCCTTTGGGTAAGAGACTGGAGGCAGTAGGCATCCCTCTCCTCTGCAAAGTTGCTGGAACATCCTCAGAAGGCATGAGATCCCATGCAGAGTGCTAGTTGGCACAGTTCAACCTCAGCTCCTATTTGGAGTTTGATCCCAGGCACTGTTTAAAATCCTGCCCCTCATCTCTCTGGAATTTGGGAAGCTATAGGCTTTGAGTCAGTCAGCAGAAGGATGAGTATTGACAATCTGACTTCAGGTGAAATTGTTTAAAGATATCTGGGGTCCCCAGCACAGGAAGGACATTGACCTATTGGAGTGAGTCCAGAGGAGGCCATCCAGCTGCTTAGAGGGATGGAACACCTCTGCTATAAGGAAAGGCTGAGCAAAATTGGGATTTTTCAGCCTGGAAAAAATAACTCTTTGAGCTGACCTATTTGCAGCCTTTCAGGACCTGAAGGTGCCTACCAAAAAAAATGGAGAGGGACTTCTTACAAGAGCTTGTAGTGACAAGACAAGGAGGAATGGCTTTGAAGTGAAAGAGAATAGGTTTATACTGGACATTGGAAAAGAATTCTTTACTGTGAGGTGGGGATGCACTGGCACAGATCACCCCGCGAATCTGTGAATGCCTCATCCCTGAAAGTGTTCAAGGCCAAGTTGGATGGGGCTTTGAGCAACCTGGTCCCTACCCATGGCAGGGAGGTTGGAACTAGATGGCTGTTCTACAGTTCTATGAATTTACTTCTTATGATATTTTCTTAAAGGTGGAGGGGATTTTTAAGAGTGTGACCATCAGTGTGCCCTCAGTATTAAACAGTTTAGTTTAATGTGTGAAATCAGCTAATATTAGATACTCTCTGCATTTTAATTATCAATATATTTAGTAAGTGATGGACAGCAGCAAGATTACCATATTGAAAAGACAGTTTCCAAAGAACAGAAGTCTTTTAAAAAATACATTGTTTAGTCATTACAAGAATGTAAATTATGTCAGTTTAATAAGAAACAAGACGGGGAATCAAGGTTTAAGTCATCTATTCCCATGAGGTGTCAGGTTACTCTTAAGAAACAGATACAGCAAAGGAATTGTTAAGTGACAAAAGGGCTGAGCATCTTATAAATGTAGGTTCTGTCTGCAAAAACATTTGATTCTTTTGAAAATTGTTTCCGGAGCAAGTTGGTTAAAAAACAGACCACTAACTTTTGGTGATTGATATGAAGAAATATTTTGCTGAACTACCCTTGCAAGAGTAATTCTGTCAAGCAGTTTGAAAATTGTAAGAGCAAGGTGGTTTGTTATTGATGACCATGCATTGTGACTGCAGGGCCCACCAGGTTCATTTGATTTCCTATTGCTGATGATGGCAGACATCAGAAATGACATCGCTGAGCTGCAAGAGAGAGTGTTTGGACACAGGACTCATTCATCAACAGAGGAATTTCCATTACCTCAGGAATTTACAAACTATCATGACACAGTAGATTTTGGATCTGGAGAAGACTACAAACCACGGGCAGCACCCAGAAACTCCAGGATACAGAAGGCAGACCATCCTTAGCTATGCCCACTGAAAAATAAAGCCCTTTAGAATTCTTCAATATAAAAGATGCACTGACAATGTAATGTAATGTAATATATATATATATATTATATATTATATTATATATATATATATATATATATTATTTCCCAGTTTTCTATCTGCTTTTTCTGAACCATGCTGCCTGTACTGTAGCTTTCCTGGTTCATGGTAGCCTCCTTGCAGTAATTCCGTACCGTCAAGCCTGCACTGTGCATTGTACCTATACTATCAAGAAAACCTCCTTAGTATATAGTTTAACTAAGGCATGCTCTAGCTAATAATGCAGACCACAGCATTCCACCTGCCTACCTTGCATTCTATTTCCAAATGACCCAGTACTCATATCTTGCCAGGGACAGAGGGGTAGCTGAACATCATCCCTGAATGATGTCAGTAATGAAAACCTTGGTCCAGAGTTACTTTATAAATGCAAATATATTATACCACTGAAGTCAGGTTTCCAGCTACTGTCCCCAGGCTTAGGAAAGTGTGAGAAGTGGATCCCTGTTTCACAGCAGAGGATATCTGTAAGTGAGATATTGTCCTCTATTATGCCCCATCGTGGCAGAAAAAGGCAAAAAATTATGGTGAAGCAGTGATACAAGGGTGCTGCTGCTTGATCTGGAAATTATTAGGCTTTGAGTTGCTAGACTGTCATTCAAAGACAGTAAAAAGATGTTCGTCCTAAACTAACACTACTTCTTCCTCACCATTGTCCCACTGCTCAGTGTGAAGGCCAGTTTCCTTTCTCAACAGATTCATGCTGAATACGCTACACAAAGATGAGCAAGATAAAAGGGGATGTTTAAAACAGGAAAACCAATCATAAGTGAATCAGGCAGGCTTACTGGCAAGCACGAAATCAATCCCAGCCTTGCAGAAAGAGTCAGATTCTGACCTCCTGCAGGTTCATGTCTTCCTTGGTGAAATTCTGAAGTGTGAGTGATGTCGACATCAGAGAGAGGCCTCATGTTTGCAAAGAGCTTCCATGTGTTTTGTTCCTCTGTTGCATGAGATCAACCTAAACGGCTTTCACCAAATGGGAACACAGAATGGCAGCGTACTTGGCTGGGTATATGGAGGAGTATGAATTGGTGCAGGAGTCCACATGACAAAACATTTCAACTTGGTACGAGGATGGCTAAGTGAGGTACTGCGCATGGGATCCTGTATTTGTGAATGGGGATAAAAGGGAGTGCCCTTTATTTACACTGGAAAATTGGATGCACAAATTAAAACATACCTCATGGATGATGTATGTTACCATTTCTTTTGGATTACCACAGCTGCTGAGGACTTTGCCATGCTTGGAATACAAAGCAAATATCTTAAGCACAAAATTTCAGTGTTGTATCTGTGTAGCTGCTACTTCTACAGTGTGTTTAGTGCTCAGTGGTGTCCGTGTTACAAATGCAAAGGAAATCTTGTTATTTTGCCATGTTTTTCAGGGCTTGCATGTTCTAAGAGAATAAATACAGATAAAAGTATAAGCAGGGCCTTTTCAGATAACACATAAAGGTTTGGATTCCCTTCCATGTTCTCTGGGCCAAAAGATAGTTGGCATAATCCTGACACCACCAGTACAGGTCATGCTGTGTAAACAGTTGGCTCTCTAGACCTTTCATGTCTATTGTGTATCGTCTTAAGAGAATGTATTCATTCCTGTAGTTGTTTCTCAGCTTCTCACTATCACTAAGCCATAAGCAAGGGCATTAACTTTTAAGAACATAAATATTCTGTACTCCTCTTCATGTTATGTCTGTATCAGTATTTACAAACCAATGCCTGAGTCACAGGGATAGCTGAAAAAAAAGATAGTGGTCTTACCCTTGGTCCTTGGGCTTCTCCTCTGTCTGGGAGGAGCTCTGCCAGCAGCTGCAGATCCAAGTAGACTTGTGAACCACATCATAGGGGAGACTTGAGGAAGGAACTTGTTGCCAAAAGAGGGATGGTCTTATATGCAGCAGAATGAAAGAAACCTCAAAGACAGTATAAACTGAGGCTTTTATGTCATATTTTCTTGATTTCAAGCAGGCAACAGTATAAATTACATCACTTATGAATATGAAAATTTAATTAAATTTGTTCAGTGTCAAATGTTGTATTTTTAAATCTTGCAAATTGTGGAACTCTTGCATATGTTTACCACTACACCCCATCACCTGCTGGGTCAGTTTGGTTCCCACTAGAGAATTAGTAGATGCAGATTTTTGACCATTACTTATAAAATTACCTAACTTTCGTTAGGTGAGTCACTTCCTACATATCAGCTAGATGCTATTGCCCTCTGGCCACAAGGTGATGCATTCTAAAAAAGGCACTTATCTTAGCTCTGAGATCTGCTTTTCCAGATATAGAAACATGCCAAATGAGAAGTTCCCACAATTTAACTGTCAAATTCAGTGGTAAGTGACAATTGCCCTGCTGTGCATAAGTGTCCAGCAAAGGAAACTCTGAGACTGGACCAGAAAAGTAGATAAAACATACTTCGCTGTAAGTACAGAAAGTTGTTCTACAGATTCATGGCTATAAATTTAGCACACGTTTACATGCCTTTCTGAATGGAAACCTCAGTGTCTTCCCTGTCTGGAGTCAGCATCCTTGGTTTTCACAGCCTAGAGCTGGGTTTCCAACAGATGAGTTTACTCCATAAAAAAAGGTGACAGAAAGTGCTCCTTGGGGGGTTTGTCCTTGTCTTTCACCCTACTCAGTCTAGACTTCCTGCTCTGAAGCTGTTCTAGTCCCAGCAACAAGGGGGACACTATGGGAAAAACAAGTTCACCCAACATGATACAGGAATTCCTACAGCAGGGAGAGCCCCTCTAAGCACAGTTGGCAGGGAAGGGTCAGCCTCTGGTCTGCGTCCAGCTCTGATCTTTGCATAGACCTTTCTCATTTCTGATTAATGGTATGAAAACTTCCATAACAAATTGTATCAGCAACACTTCACTAAGATTTCTGGATAAACACATAAAGGCATTCAGAATAAGTGTCATTTTCTTCAGCATACACAACGTTTAATAAAGCCAGCACAGAGGAATCATTTCCAATCTTAAGTTTCATTATGGTGTAGCCAGAGAAGTCATTACCTTTCAAATTATTTATTACTCTGTGGCTCCAAAAATAACAAACTTTCCCAAGACTCCGAACCAAGAAAGTAGAAACTTCTACACTTATGTCTAGTCTCATTACTAGGCTCATGCACATGACAACTTTGTTCCATATAAATACTATGTATAATTTTATTAGAAAGAAATATTATTTTGATGTTAAGACATCAAGTTATAAGCAGAAGGATAATAAAGAATTTGTTATTTTATTAATATTAGAAATATATTTAATGGAAACATTTGCAAGAGTGTGTAGTGGTGGGAAAACGCTGATTGTTAATGGGATTAACAAAATCATGAATCTTGAAAAATGTTTTCTTTCAACACTGTGCCAAGTACATACAGGTTTAGTCTTTCTTGCAAAGCTGTCATTCTGGCATGGAAGAATTTTTAAATAGTCATGCTAAATCAGGAAAAGAAGAGGAAAATTGATTGTAAATGGAATTAGGGTAATGCCTGGAGTTATTATTGGCATCACAGCTTACATAGCCTTCTTTCTAGAAGTGTTTCAGAGTTAATATGCCAAGTCCCAGAGCAGCAACAAAAGATGGGGGTGGGGTCCAAGTCTCTTAATTTCACATTAAAATCCGTATGTTTGTTCCTATTTACACATTCCAATAACTATACTGTTCACTTTATTTATATATGAAATACTAAAATGTGTATAAGATGACTGTGATTTTATGATGTATTCATAATAACAAAGATATTTTTTCTTACACTGTTGGTAGTTGCTTTTGTTACACGTCCCTTTTCCCTGCAATACAGCAATGTTGGCTGGAAGAGACAAATGGCAGGAAACTTCCTCATGCTGCCTTCTGGCATTTTTCTTGGAACTGAACTACACACACTGCCATAGTCCTCAGACTATGGGGGATGAGCTCTTGCAGACTAGTGTGGGTTTCAGTCTCTGTGGGAATAAAGCACACGGCCAGCTCCACTATATGGAGGGTGGGTCCTGCGCCGTGTAAGGCTGGATCCAGCAGCCTTACCCCACGCTGTCAGTGTGCACAGTTTCTGCACAGCCTGGGCATGTGCCACGGGGGTCTGAAGCCCTCTGGCATCCTGCCACTGTTATGGGGGAAAAGGGGGGAATAAGACACAGGCTCTGTCAGGCCTCCTTTTCCCCTCGCACGTGTCCCAGCAGCTCCCTGCAGCCCCAGAAGCATCCTGCGGGCTGCGCCCCATCACAGCTGTGGTCAGCGGCAGCGGGGAGGCCCGCTGCATTCCTTCCTCCCCGCAGAGCCCACCCGGCCCGCCGATGCCACAGGGACACCAACAGGCCTGGAGCCCCGGGCTGGATGTCATTTCTGGTGGGATCCGGCTCCACGGCTGGGACCCAGGACTGTCAGGACACGGGTAATGCAAAGTAAAATGAAAAGCATCTGTAAATCATACTGAAACATAAATAAAAGAATAATAATAAAAAAAAAAAAAAGGCTGGAACAGTCATAGTAACAAAGTAGGTAGTGGAAGCAAAATGTTTACACAAAAATCTATGGTTAGCAGATCTAAGAATGAAAGTAGACAAAGAAGTTCCCAGTAGTACTGGGAATCCTGGTAGTTTTACTGTTCCATGACTGGATGATGATAACAGAACAGGATCGACAAGAATTCATGAAAAGCAGTCATTCAATGTCTGCTTTTGGGGAAGGCCAGATGGTAGAGTCATATGACATTAAATGATGGAGTCCTTTTAATTTTAACCAGTCACACAGAAGTTTAATTAAGCTAGTCATTTTAAAACCTGAGTGTCTAATTTAACTTGCATCCGACAGTTTTAAAAGACGCAGCAAAAGACCGCCGGGACCAGCAGCACCTCCGGCCCTCCCCGCCGGGTCTGCCCCGGCTTCCCTGTCCCGGTCAGACCTCCCGGTACGCGGCTGCGGGCCGGACTGCATTGCCAGCGGGCTGCGGGAGCTGATCCTGCCCCTCTCCTCAGCACTGCTGAGGACGTATCTGGAGCGCTGTGTTCTGGGCGCCTCAGGTCAAGAGAGATGTGGAGGCCTTAGGGCAGGTCCAGTTGAGGGGTGCAAAGAGGACTGAGGGACTAGGGCATATCTCTTCACATGGAAAGGTTGAGGGAATTGGGGGTCTTCAGACAGGGGAAGGGACGACTGAGACGGAACCTCACCAGTGCGTCTCTAAAGGGAGAGTGTCAAGAGGACAGAGCCAGGCTCTGCTCCCTGCTGCGGATCAGCGGGGCAGAAACCCACGCACAGGAAGTTCCATCTCAAAATGAGGAAGAACTTCTTTACTGTGTGGGTGACCGAGCACGGGAACAGATTTCCCAAAGAGGCTGTGGATCTTCCCTCACTGGAGATATTCAGGAACCGCCTGGACGCAACCCTGTGCCGTGTGCTCTGGGATGCTCCCGTCTGAGCAGGGAGCTTGGACCAGATGACTCCAGGGCGGCTCCTCCCGAGCTGACCCGCTCCGGGCCCCTGTGTCTCCGTGACTACATCTCCCGGCAGCGCCCGGGCGGCGCGCGGGAGGCCGGGCGGCGGCGGCGGCGGTCGAGAAGGGCGGGCGGCGGCCGGGAAGGGCGGCGGGATGCGGCTGTCGGTGGCGGCCGCCATCTCGCATGGCCGCGTGTTCCGGCGGCTCGGGCACGGCCCGCGGAGCCGCCTGGACCTGCTGCGGAACCTGGTGACGGCGCTAGTGCGCCATGAGCGCATCGAGACGCCCTGGGCGCGGGCAGACGAGATGCGCGGCTACGCCGAGCGGGTGAGCGGCGGGGCCGGGCCGGGGTTTAGCGCGGGGCTGGCGGGCGGCCGAGGGGCCCTGACCCGCCACCTCCTTCCTCCCCGCAGCTCATCGACTACGCCAAGCGGGGAGACACGGACGAGCGCGCCATGCGCATGGCGAATTTCTGGCTGACGGTGAGTACCACCCCCCCAACACACACCCCCCCCCCCCCCCCCCTTCTGCATTCCCAGCCCCGGATCCCTCTTGTTCATCGCGCCGCGGTGCCGGAGCTGAGCGTGCCGCCCCGCAGGAGAAGGACCTCATCCACAAGCTGTTCAAGGTGCTGGCGCCGCGGTTCCAGCCGCATCCCGGGAGCTACACGCGCCTGCTGCAGATCCCGAACCGGGACGCGCTGGACCGCGCTAAGATGGCGGTGATCGAGCTGAAGGGGAACCCGCTGCCGCCGCTCGTCCGCCCGCGCCGCGACTCCGAGAAGACGCTGCTCAACCAGCTGCTCAAGGGCTACCGGGAGGACCTGCACAGGGCGGCGGAACCCCCGGGCACCCCTGTCTAGGGGTCCCCACCCTGCCCCGAGGGGCTGTCCGGGAATGGAAAGTGTGTCGGGAGGGCTGGAGGTTGGTCGCTAACCTGAGGTTGCCATGGCGAGCACGCACAGTTTACTTGCTTCTTCCCGTGGTTTGAATAGGGACTCGACAAGAGGAGGAAATCAAGCTAGGAGCCCTGGTGGGTGATGTTCTCTGTGTAAATAAACTTTGTTCAGAACGTTCAGTTTGCTTCTGTTTGAATTCTGTTTACAGTCAGTTAGGTTGGAAAAGACCTCTGAGATCACTGAGTCCAACCCGTGACTGAATACCATCATGCCACCTAGACCATGGCACTTGTACAGCCTTTCCCTTAAACACTTCCAGGGACAGTGACCCCACTACCTCCCTGGGCAGCTCATTCCAATGTTTAATCACCCTTTCTTTGAAGAAATTCTTCCTAATGTCTCACCTAAACCTCCCCTGGCACAGCTTAATTCTTGTGCTTGAGCTTTAGTAACTTACTCCAGCAAAACCTGGGTTTGTGTTCTGGTCCCACAGCCCTGCTCTGGGGCAGCGTTTCCACTGTGACAGAGCTACATTGTTTCCTTGAAGCCAGTGTGCAGCATTTCAGGGCAGGAAGTTCAGTGAAAAATGAGGTAACTTTTGCTGTTTCAAAAACTGCCGAATGCAGATAGGATTGTAACAGTGAGATAACTCCTATAAAGAGACGGTATCAAAGGAGTTGATGCCATCTCTAGCAAGAACTTCGTAGACATCCCAGCGTCAGGTGCAGGATTGCAGCAAGTCACTGTATTACCCAGTTAGAACAAAAAGGGAGAATAGCAGAACTTTTGCTGAGTGTTTTAACTTCTAAAAATCTTTAGTTGTTAGCTTTGTCTTTTGATTTCAAGCACAGCTAGTACTTGGAAGTCCTAGCTGTACCTTTGAAGTGAAAAAAAAACCCACCAAAACCAACCCAGATATGGTATCACAGAATAGGACACCAGGTTGGAACTGACCTGAAGGATATCTTGTCCAGCCTTTCTTGGTAAAACACGGTGGAACTGGGGTGGCTTCCTTCTGTTGCATTCCTTCCTCCCTCCCAGGTTTTACAAACTTAAGACATTTAAATGAGTGATGCCATGGAGCAAGTTAATTGTACGGAAAGACAAAAAGTTAGAGTTACGTATTCTCTGTTTTAGTGAACCCAGTGCGAAATTCAAGATCTGTGCTGCTAAAAGAAGAAGAAAAAAGTCAAAATGTTAAAAGGTCAGTGTTCAGACGGGCCTTAATCTTTGTCTCTAGTAACCTCGAAATTGCCCTGTTTGTAGAGAGATGAACCAAGCTGCTGTTGCTGCAGAGCTTCCATTAAGTTAAAAGTCCATGCTGAGGCTTTAACAAAATACCAATAATACGTTGTCTGTATTTATTCCTTAAGTTGGTCTTTCATCCTAGTAAACTGTACCCTAGCACATTACCAGCGATTGATGACCCAGGGTGCTGACTGTAGCCCCTGGAGATTTTCCATGTGCATCAGGAGCAGAGGTGCTGCCCAGGTTTTTCCCTGCAGGATTTCAAAGCAGTAAGACACTGCACACCATGCAGGCAAAAGCAAGAGCTGTTTCAGCTGCGTAATCTCTTAGTATTCAGATTATAAATGTGAATGCTGCTTGGTAAGACGACTGTGGCCTGTACCACTGGCAGAAAATACAGTGTAATGTCCATACTACCACTACCCAAAACACACATTTTACTCACAGGAAGGACACAGGGGCATGAGCAGGTGGACACATACATAGACAAATGAACATGAAAACACTGATTTAGGAACATAGTTGAATAAAAACATTTAATGAGTGAAAGCAAATCAGGCTCTTGTCTGCTTGTCCTTAACAGAGTTTACAAAAGTGCAGAAAAGCTAGAAGCTTCTAAGCTAAATTGGGGAAAATTCTTATTTTTTATACACAAATGCTTAGTGTGCATAGTATCTGTATGAACATTAGGACAGCTGACAAAGCGTTCATCATCTTGCAAGCACAGTGTGTAATCCTTCTAAATGCAGTTCTGCTATATGCCCCTGAGCATTTTCTAAGGTTGTGTAGGCTTCTGCCATGACAGTGGTTGTCCTGCCAGTCTGTCTTGTACTCGGATGCATCAGGCTTTTAGCTGCCTGCAGAGGAAAACAAAGGGGAAGGTCACTTTATAGGTGAAACCTGTTCATACAATTCCCTTGTGTCCTGGCTGCAAGGGACACCCTTATAACCTACACAGGCCCATATGATCATTTTTATGTCCTGTCCCCCTCCTCTCAGCCTCTTCCACCTCTGGAAAAGAGATGCCTACCTGACTGCAGCTGTGAGACTCCGATACCAGTCATTGATATCTTGTTGGTCGCTGGACATCAACAGCAGTGCCTTGTGTGGAAAGGAAAGCTGAAAGGCAAACAGAATCTGTGGCATTCCTTGCCTAGGCAGCAATTCTGATTAAAGGAGAGTCATCACTACTGAATTCAACTCAGCTCTGCATGCTGATTTTCACCATTTTCCTTCCTAGACTGAAAAATTTAGCTTTAGTACTCGAAGGAGCCAGAGGCTGGACAGTACAGAGCAAGTGCCAGACATGTCCATTCTTTCCAGCCACAGCTGACAACTCACTCTGACTTAATAAGCTGTTTGGAGATGAGCAATCACAGTTCTTAGCAGCTCTTCATCCAGTTTTCTCCCTTATTCCAAGCTGCCCCTCGGGATCCTTCCACTACCACCATCTGCAGGTCACAGATTAGATGAAGTGTTCTTTGTCGCAGCTCACAAGGAATGAGGTAACACAGCCCCAGGAGCTGCAACCTTGGAAAAACTGACTTTGAAACTTCTACTGAGGACACTGGTCCCTGCCAAGGACCCTGCAGCCCTCAGGGACTTTGATGCACAAGCAGTATCTGTTGTGATAGCACTCACATCTTCCCCACTCTCTGTTTTTCTGTAAGTTCAGCCCACAGTCAATGTATTTGTTGTCACACGTCTAGGGGGCTGTCCCCCCAAACCTGTGGCTCTGATGAAGGCATGTCAAAGTCTGACTGGACCCTCCTCACCTGAGCTAAGTGAAGCAACCAGCGGCAACCTGTACCCCAGAGTGTGCAGGAGGGCCTACACTGTGAAAGGATAAGGACCTACACCACTCAAAAAGAGAAGGGTTGCCCTGACTCAGACTAGTTCATTGCATTTTGTCACTAGGCCTGTCCTCTTAGGCCTGTGGCTGCTGAGGCAGTTGGAAACCCGCTTCCAAGTCTGACTCCACTGGCACTTGTGCCAGGCAGAAGTAGGGAGACTTACACTGAGGAGCCCTCCCTGGCTCCGTGTGTGGCCAAACACTTTATCCACGGTGCACTGGTGGAGAGGGTAAACAGCCTGGCACGCCAGTTTGTTAGAGTTCAGCGGGTGCAGGGGGTGGCAGGGCTTTGCTGCTATGAGGATATCAGAGAACAGGAAGAACATCCTACGCTTCAGTTCGTCTCCCTTTGAAGGCACCACCAAAAGCCAGCCTTCCCGGATATACCAGCGCCCTGGGCATGCAAGGGAAACAGAGACAGTTGTCAGATCACGGCAGGGGGGTTGGCGGAAAGAAGGATGTAATGAGAAAAACAGGAATACGGTGTGAGCCATCCTTGCATGTTACCGGGTTCTACATCAATTCCAGCCACTAGAAGGCACTGAAGTATCAACTGGGTCCAGCCCAGCAGCACAGAAAACACACATACAAAACAGTAACCAGCCCAAAAGGTTTAAGAGCAGGCCGAAGTTGTTGTAAGTCTACTATGTTAATTAAGAGGATATTATGATATGCAAGCCTGTTTAAAAATATTGTTTAAAAAGAACAAAAAAGTGGGTTTAAAATTGTATGCGTAGCTTTAAATTAAAATAAGCCTACAGAAAACACACCATGAACAGTCTTTGTGTTGCCCGTTTGTTTATCATTAGTGGTGAAACAGAAGTTAGCCTAAGCTTTGAAAATGTAATATTTTGTTGTTTGCTTCTGTATGTCAATTAAATAAATTAGGAAAAAAAAAAAGCCAAAAAACCCGAACCCTTCCACGTTTCACAGGTCACCTAGTAATATATAGACCTCCATAGTTAAGAGATTGCAGGATACAGACTACTGTTCTAAAGAGGAGACAGCAAACGGGATATAAAACAAGGAAGGTGTGAATAGGCAACCTTATCAGCCTCTCTTGCAGAACAGAGCCCAGTGTTATACACCCATGAAATGAATTGCAATGAAAATAAAGGAAGAGAAAGCAGCAGAAAAATAATCAAAACAATTTAATAAACCCAGCTGTAAGCAGCAATTAAAAAAATGGCATCCACACAAAATCTAACAATTGAAGCAGGACCTCTATCTAGGATTATTGTGCAAGATAGCCATCAACTCATGGAAATTATGAAGACCCCTGCCAGTAACATTATTTGTAAAAATATAAAGCCATAATTAGGTATTGCCACCCAGCCTTGGCTAGGAAACAACTGCCAGGGAATTTCAGCCACTGTTTTTCATGCCTTAGCTCCTGCATGAGCTATTAAGTACCTTTTAGGGAAAAAAAAATCACAGTTTTTTTTAATTATGGATTGTCTCTTACTTAGTATTCTGCAGTCACAAAACAAAGAGGCAGGTGAGTTCCTGCTTAGCTTACTTCACAGGAACCACTCCTCTTGTCTGAATCAAATGCAGGAATCAATCAAAGTTTAAGAAATAAATGAAAGGAAGGGGTCAGCAGCATGGGACTGCACTGGGAACTGTTCCTCTCAGGCTAAGCTGTGATCAGACTCTCAGGCATACAATCTGTCCTGTACTGTACTGGAAATCTTGGATTATGGATCCATATTCAGGATTACCAGGGGCACAAGATTTAGGAAATGGTTGTGAAAGGAGGGCAAAAAAATATCCCTGTGGAAGCTCAGAATGGCAAAACAGAGTGCTAAGTTAAGGAGGTAGTTCTGGTTAATATGGTAGTTGCCCTAAATATGGAAGGCAGCAAGAAAAGCAGGGTCTCTTTACTGGGAGCACTACATCTCAGAGACACTGCCAGATGTGAGACAGCCAACTCCAAAGCTCCCACTTTCTCTGAGTCTACAGCATTATGGGTTTTTTTCCCTCCTGGTGGCAGGTCACAATCTTAATAGTTCTGAAAAAAATAGCTTGTTTCTGGAAAGCTGACCCAAAACTAGGAAGTTCCAGTTGCCTCCTACTTTT